GAGCAGAGCTGAGAAGCTCCCCTAGGACAAGGGCTGCAAGTCACTTAGAAAAATGTTCCCAGTGATCTGCAGGGAGGCCCTGCAGGAGCCGTGGGCTGTGTCACCCTGCAAGCCATGGCACTGTGCCCACAGGCAGCGTGACACCACGCGAGGAGGGAGAGGGTGGTTTAAGCAAAATAGATGTTCCTCTGAAAAGGTCTGGCTGATGGCTCGAACGATTGAAATGAAGGCATCCCTGCCTTTCGTTTCTAAATTGAACTGCCTGGCACTGTAAGAAGGGACTGCTTAAACCCTAAATAGTGTCTTTGTCCTTAAATAGGTTTTTTAGTCAAAGAATTTGGGGAGGAGCAGATAGTACTTTCCCAGAGACTGTTCTTGCCTGTGCTGTGGACCTATTAAAATACTCAAAGCCTGGCATTGCGGAGGAAACTCTGCGTTTGGTTAGGCCGGGCTGAGGGAGAGTTTGGCCTTTAGAGAAGCACAGATTCAACTCACAGATGTCCCTTTGAAGAGGGGATGCTCCCATTACAGTTTCCCCAGGTAATCTGACCCACATCCTGAGCCATCCTGAGCGTCTTTCACTTCACAAGCACAGTCCCTGGTGGAGAGCAACTGCTTCAGAGGTGTTAGTTTTCCTGAACATGTGCATTCTTTATAATTCTGAATCCTCAGTTTTTTAATCTGGGAAAGGGAGGTTACCATACCGACCCCATTAATAAAATTGATAATTACACGCACCCCATAAATTTAGATGGATTATGAATTTAATCCCATAATCATTCCATGAAGGAGACACTCTTACTGGTATTAGAGCCACTTTGCAGGTTAGCAAGTGGAAGAGCTTAACCCCGCCCAGGCTGTGACTCCAATATCTAAATATCCCGACTGTAACCACCGTGTGTCTCTTCTGCCTACCCTGTCTGGTTTATAAGACAGCTCTTTGGAATAGTATATGGGAAAACTCAGCACAATGCCTTGTCTGTTAAAAATGACAATGTCCATCCTTCTTCCTTCCCTGCCATTCCCCTGCATTGTGTCTGAACCCATCAGAAGCAACATTGGAAAAATAACAGCTCTGACCATTTGGAGGCCTTTTGGGCAAACACACCAGGCTTAGGGATGAAGGAGAACATCTTAGAGGGAGGACCATCCTGGGTGGTCAGGAGCAGGAACATGGGCTGAAGAGAGAAGCAAGGGGGGTTCCCACCCAGGCTTCTCCAGCAGCAGCATCAGGTGCTGACTCTTGGCCTGGCATTGACATGTTTTACACATATGACCGAAGGCCCCTTCTTGCCTAGGTCTTTACCCTCACCATTAGCTTGTGGCTTGGAAAAATGATTTGGAGAAAATGTGGAGAGAGAGAAGACGACATTGTGGGGGATAGAAGAGACCAGTGTCACAGTTCTTAACTATAAACATTCATTTTACTTTTTAAAAGCTGAAACAAAAATGAGTATGTTTGCTGAGATCCCTTTTAAAAAGAAATAATAGGGGGAGCGCCTGTGGCTCAGTGAGTAGGGTGCTGGGCCCATATACCGAGGGTGGTGGGTTTGAGCCTGGCCCCGGCCAAACTACAACAAAAAGTCGCCGGGCGTTGTGGAGGGTGCCTGTGAGCCCAGCTACTCAGGAGGCTGAGGCAGGAGCATCTCCTAAGCCCAGGAGTTGGAGGTTGCTATGAGCTGTGACACCATGGCACTCTACCAAGGGTGACATAGTGAGACTCTGTCTCTAAAAAAAATAAAAATAAATAATGGTGAGAAAATGCTTTCAGGCAAGAATTGGGCCGAGTTACTGAGGACCTGGAAAGAGCATCTTATTGGTAGAGGAGGTGAGAGGTCAGCGAGCATTTTACTCCTCTGGAGTTCTGGCATTTCTCAGCTCTGCCATGAAGGGAATATTTAAGGGAAGTTGTCGCAATGGTTAATTCTTCCATATTCATACAAATCATGGTCTTTCTATTTTTCTCTTCCTAGAGAACTTTCTATTCTTTTTTTCCTGTGATATATAACAGGATGGAAGTCGGTAAGGGTATAACTACATTCGAGAGGAGAAAGGAAATGGTGTCTTAATTTACACCGATACTCAAAGCTAAATCCTGTAAGCTTGGGGAATTGTTATCTTAACACATAAGTATCCCTTTTGGTCAATATGCATAGAAAATGGGGTTTTGATTTTTTTTTTTTTTTTTTTGAGACAGTCTCAAGCTGTCACCCTGGGTAGAGTACTATGGCATCACAGCTCACTCACAGTAATCTTAAACTCTTGGGCTTAGGCGATTCTGTTGCCTCAGCCTCCCGAGTAGCTGGGACTACAGGCGCCTAGCACAACGTCCAGCCATTTTTTTTTTTTGCTGTTGCAGTTGTCATTGTTGTTTAGCTGGCTTGGGCCGGGTTTGAACATGCCACCCTTGGTGTATGTGGCTGGCACTGTAACGACTATGCTACAGGCGCCGAGCCGGGGCTTCGTTATTCTTGAAGGAGTTGCCAATAGTCTATCTTCCAAAGCTTGTTGATGAAAAGGAGTAGGTGTGTATAAACACTAGCCATGTTCTCTTATGTGTGTGTGAGAAGGGGGGAAGAGAGACGAGGTATTTCTCCTGGTGTCTCTCTTAGACCCAGAGGTCTGCTCCTGTACTGGGCATCCACAGCCTGGTACGTGAGGGGTTCAGATATGCTAGTTTGTCATTTACTGGCTGGAAGTTCTGGGTATGAAGCCACGTGCTTTTAGAGCTGGAAGAACCTTACGGATTGACTTTCAGTTTTGCCGTCCATTGCTTGCAGGGTGCGTTCACATGCATCTGAGACTCCGAGCTGGGTATGTGTGTGGGGGGGCTGAAGTTTCAGGATCTGTAGAAAGATTCACCATGTTTGTCCTGTGACTCCCCATCTGTCCCTGGCAGGGTATTTAATAAGATGGCTTCAGTGATGAATGATTAGCCAATAACGTGGCCTTAGCACATGGGAGCAAGAATTCATCGAAAAGCTTCAGTTTTGTTTATGTGTTTGTTTACTTTCATGTTGAAATTAATCTAAAAGCCATTACTTTGATCTTTTTTATTTTTAATTTGACATTAACGTGAGGATACACAGCTAGGTCACAATATTTGCTTCTGTTAGGTAGAGTCCCTCTTCTAGTTATGTCCCACACAGGTGTGCCACCCCTACATTGTGCCTATTACGTGGGAACACCCCAAACCACTTCCCCCCCTCCCTCGTTCCCTCTCCCCCCCAACTTGAATTGAAATTAGATTGTCTGCTGCCTTCATATTAGTATTGAATACATTGGATATTTGCTTTTCCATTCTTGTGATACTTTACTGAGAAGAATGCATTTCAACTTCATCCAGGTTAATATGAAAGATGTCAAGTCACCATCTTTTTTATGTCCGATTAGCATTCCATAGTATACATATACCACAGCTGGTTAATCTATTCCTGAGTTGATGGGAATTTAGCTTGTTTCCACTTCTTGGCGATTATAAATTGAGCTGCAATAAACAATCTAGTGCAAATGTCTTTATAATGAAAGGATTTTTTTCTTCTGGGTAGATACCTAGTAGTGGGATTTTAGGGTCCAATGGGAGATCTATTTTGAGTTCTTTGAAGATTCTCCACACTTCTTTCCAAAGAGCTGTCCCACCACCAGTGCATTACTTTGATCTTAATAACAGGGCAGCCTTTTGGCAAGTTGAGGGCCAGGAATCAAAAAAGGCTGTTGTACAGAGAGTGAAATGTGTCATAGGTCCACTCTAGCCCCAAATCCTCACAACCAAGGATATGGGTTGCCATGAAAAGAAGGAAACTTTCTTGTGCTTTGGCATCCAGGAAGGTCTTCTTTTGAACAAAAGGAACTAATGCAATTTGAAGTCCTTTATACACAATTGAAAAGAAGCAGTTGTTGAAAAATTCTGTTTTGACATTGATAAAATAATGAATTGGATTTCATTATGCCCCATGGGTATTTAACAGGTAACCTCTCCCCAGAACTCTAGCTGCCCACATGGCATCCCTACTTGAATATCAGATACATATCTCAACCTCAGCTTGCCCAAAGTGATGACTCCATATCCTAACAGTCACTTCTCAGAGTTTTGTCTGTCTTAGAAAATGGGGCCCCAACTATCTGGTAGTTCCAGCAAAGGTTCTAAGAGTTATTCTTGATTTTTTTCGCTTCCCTTTTCCCTACAGCCAGTCTGTCATCAGTTCCTGTTGACTTTCCCTCCAGTTGATATCCCCAAACCACTGACTTCTCCTGATCACTGTTGTTAGCTCCCTGTTCAAGTAACCATCATCTCTTATCTGGGCTGCTGCACTGGTCTTCTAAACTGTGCCCTTATTTGCTCATGATCTATTTCCTCCCAAGGAGCATCTCTTAAAAAAGTTAATCAGATCTGGTCGTTCCCCTATTGGAAGACATTCATTGGTTTCCCATAGCAATGAGAATAAAAGCTTTACCCTTTATGCTGGTGTACAAATCCTTTGGGGTCTAGCCCCCAAACCTCTCTAACCTCAGCTCCTACCACTCTCTCTCTAGAGTTCTCCAGACCCCCAGGTCTTTAAGCATGCCCATCCATCAATCTGAGGGCCTTCCTCCCACCAGGAAAGAGCTTTCCTCATCTTCCCAGGGCCAGCTTCTTGAAACATTTACAACAAGATGTTCTGATAAATGGTGTCCTTCATAGAAGTCTTTCCTGACCACCTGATTATATAAACTGTCCCCCCAGCAGAAGGACCATTTATCAGATAACCCTTCTTTCATCCCCTTTAAATTACCTGGATGGCACTGTTAACTGTGCCCACCACCGCTGAGTGCTGTGCTTGGATTTAAGATCCATGAGAGAGGGGGAAGCTTCTGCCTTTCCACCCCTGTGTTGCCAAGATCAAGGTCAGCATTTGGTGTGGTGTGAACCCCACTCTCAGCGGCTTTTCATATGTGGTGGAATCCAGCTTTCTCTTAACTCTGGAACCAATAGATTGTTTCTGTTTGTTCTGTTTCTACAGGAAACGGGGCTTTATGAGTATAAAGTCTTCGGCGTTCTGAAGAATTGCTCACCAGCTCTACTTGCAGATGTCTATATGGACTTAGCCTACAGAAAACAGTGGGACCAGTATGTTCAAGGTGAGTGGTATCTGCTTTTCTCTAATCATTAGAAATTAGATTTTTTGCTAGCCCGTAGAAAGAAATAGGTCGATGTAAAGTTCATGTGCATTTTAAAATAGTTTAACATAGTAAATTGCACACGAACTACGGACACCCTGTAGTGCTTCCTTTTAAATTTTGCTCAAAAGTCTTTTAAATGTGGGGTTGAAGTGTACCTTTGCTGTTTCTAGGGTGTGCTCCTTACATACTCTGAATCCTTTTCCTGGTTTGCTCCTAGTGCTAAACTTTGGTGTCACTGTTGTATTATTATCCTGTGTTCCTAGGTAGTTGCGGAAGGCTTGTTGGAGGAGGTATAGCGTCTAAGCTTTGTTTTGAAGTCGAATCAAAGTGTTCTAAACAGACAAGAAGACATATATGTGAGGAGGTGAGGGAGTGAGATGAGTAGTTAAGGGCATCCTACACCCAGGGAACAGCACGAAGCAGCACGTTCAAAAGTCACAGCAGTTTCACGTTGTTGTGTTGGTTGGAGCAGCAGAACCTACCCAGGCTCTACTACTAATGCTGGTACTAGTTCTACTGGTACTGGAACTAGGGCAGGAGTTGGGTCCGGGTCCCCCAGGGCCTAGCATGGCCCCAGGTTACAGGCTTTAGACTTTACCTATCAGTGATGAGGGATATCAAATGAAGGATCATCCTGCCACTTAGAGGCGTCCTGCAGTGGCGTCCAGCAGCTAAGTCACTATGTCACAGAACTACAGAACTAGCCAAAAGCCCATACTGTCCTTATTCAAGACTCTTGGTTTCAAGTTACAAAAACCCAACTAAAGACAGTGTAAGAAAAGACAAAAAGAGTTTATTGTTTCCGGGCATTGATGGTTAAGTCTAGTGCAGGGGGGTTCTGGCTTCTAGGACGGCTGCAACTGGGAACTTAAATAATATCTCTGGTGATGTTTCTTTCTAAATCTCTAGACTCTGTTTTCTTCTGTGTTGGCCTCATTTCCAGGCAAATTCTTACATCATAGCAAAGATGTCTACCCAAAGACTCAGGCTTATATTCAACCATATAAATTTGCAGTCTCCAACCCCTGGGCCATGGACCAATACTGGTGTGTGGCCTGTTAGGAATCAGGCTGTAGAGGAGGAGGGAAGTGACAGTTGAGCAAACTAAGCTTCATCTGTATTGACAGCCGCTGCACGTCGCTTGAATCACCATCTGAGTTCACCTCCTGTCACATCAGTGGCAGCATTAGAGTCTCAGAGGAGTGCGAACCCTATTGTGAATTGTGCATGCGAGGGATCTAGCTTCTGTGCTTAAGAGAATCTAATACCCACCTGCAAGGTCCATCGGGAAATTGTCTGTCCTGAATCCAATCCCTGGTGCCAAGAAGGTTGGGGACCATTGATATAAATAACCCCGGAGGAAAGAATTCCACTTTCCTAGGATGGCAGCCACACTGCCAGGCCTGGCTCTCCTCAGCTCAGCTTGGAGCAGGTGCTCATTTACTGTGGACATACGTCATGGTCTTGGGTAACTTAGTGTTTTCAGATGCCATTGCTACTTAGGGGGCGATGTGCCACTCTCCCATCCAAGGGAGAGCTGCACACTCTTTGTCCCACTCTCCTTGGCAGCCATCATACAGTTGTGTGATACAGACTCCACCAATAAGGTGCAGGTTTGGCTTCAATTCGGAAATGAGCAATGTGAGGGGGCAGGCAGGCTTCAAATTCCATTTTCTGGTGACAGCTAAGGCATCTGACTTTAGAGAAAAACAATTGCAGAGCCTCTGATATTTGCTATACCCGGCATCAACAACTTTTACTCTGGGTTCTGATCCCCTGGAAACAGCAGTTTGGCTTTGCTGGAAGGATTCTGAGGTTCTAAACCTCACTCTTGTCCCCCTGGATATTATGTGAGTGCCTGAAAGCCTTTACTAAACCACTGTTTGGCCTAGACTTGCTACAGTGGCAAAGTAAGAACCTGGCCAGGCCATCCTTGAGCTAATCACCATGACTGTGTCTTGTTCATTGCCCCAGCTCTGAAATCACTGCAGTCTGGCTTCAACCACACAGTCAAGAAGTAGGGAAAGGGTGGTGCCCTGAAGGAAGGTCGAGATGTTGGTACAGAAGGGAAAACCCGTGCTGAGCAGGCAAAAGCTGCAGATGTCCACGCCTCCCCTTCTTATGTGCTGTCATCAGCCTCCTGTGACCCCACTGGGCTGGCAAGCACCATTAGTCTGCTTCTAATAATTTTTTTTTTCAAAAGCTAACCCCCTCCAGCATTTCTTCAAGGGACTTTGGGGGGTTAGGAAGTCTCTAACTGGTCTGCACAGCTTGGGTCGGAGGGTATGTGTGTCATTAAATTCCTTTGCTATCTGCCGACAAGAGTTGGCTGCTTGCACGTAATAGCAAGATGGAGTGACTGTTAATTAAGGGAGTTTGGTCTTTCTAGTTGTGGTGTAGTGCAAATAAACGGGAGAAAAGCAAGAAGCAGCCACAGTTCTATCACTCCCTAGCTATTTAAGGAAGGACATTTTCCTCTCTGGAACTCTCATATTCTACCTGAATGTGCTAGACTGGGTGACTCAGTCCCAGGTTAGCTGATTATAATGTGTCAAGAAATCTTAAAAAGGACAGAAAAAGTGCTCAAAAGCAAAACTGTTGGTACTCTAGCGACATCTAGTGGTGTTCCTGATTTTGAAACTTCTGACTATTTTTTTGATGCCTGTTTTTTTTTCTTCATCTCATTCGATACGAGAACTTTTTTTGTGCTTTATAAGGGACAAGTTTTGTCGGGCTCTTTTGTTTATGCTGTGGTTTATATCCATTAGACCCTGACCCTGGGCAGCAGCCTTTGAGTGGTAATTAATCTGGCTGGATTTTTCCCAGAATTCTGTGTCTTACAACATCTTACAACGTAGTGGTTTGTCATACCCTACAAGGTCACCTTATTAACTGAAGCCGAAGAAATTTCCAGATGCATTCATTTCTTTTGTTCTCCTTTAGAACTCTATGAACAAGAATGTGATGGACAGACTGTGGTCTACTGGGAAATAAAGTGCCCTTTCCCCATTTCCAACAGAGATGTATCCTTTCCACAAGGGACACCATTCCTCGGCCCTCTAAGTGTTTCTGTGTCCCTTGGCCATCGCCCGATGCAGGAAGGTAGCGTTGGCTTTCCAGCAGGTACAGATGACATTGTCTCAGATTCTTGCAGCAGCACCTGCTACAGCTATTGCTTCTTGTGTGGTTTATGGTGACCTCAGTGTGACTTCTCAGCTTGACCACATAGAGCATCTGCAGTTGTGGTTACTGGGGGCAGCTCATCCTTTCCGGAGAAGTTTCATAGGCCTTGAAATTGTCAATACATGGAATTGGAGACCTAAAAAGAACAGTGCTTAATATAACTTTCTCAGCGCACAGAGAAGGAAGGAGGCCTCCAGAGAGGGGAGATGACTGAAGCTTGGGTGGCAGAGCCAGCCTCGGAACCCAGGCCCCTGCATTCCCCACGCTCTCCATGCCCTCCTGTCTCAGTTGACCCCACAGCAATCCCTCCTTGAGTGCTGGCCCTAGACGCAGAAAGTAAGCTTCTTCCCCTCACTCTCCTTGTTTATGAAATGGAGCAGTGAATGACATGTAGGGAGCTTGCGCTGGGACTCCTAGGTTCTCAGAAACCTCTTTGCAACTAGCCTGGGGGTGTGAGATGGAAATTTGTTACATAGGCGGGATGGAGGTAGAAGGGCTCATGGGTGAGACCTGGCTCCTTCACTGTCCTCTACAGTCGTAGCAGCTGAGTGTTTTACATGCTCCTATGTATGTAAATTTCCATACGTGGAAAAAGGGTCTACCAAGTAAGAGAAGTCTGGAAGCCACTGAATTAGACGATCGCTGCAACTTTTTCTAGCCCTGACACTGTATAGGTCTGATTTTTTCCTAAATAATTATTCTCTAGAAAGAGAGGGGGAGTGTGAGTGTGTTTGTTTGTTTTTGTGTCTATATTTGTGTGTCTACCCCTGGACCCCAACTACATTGGGAGCTAATTCTTGGCACAGTATCGGTTTTCTACTAGTTTGTATACACGTAGTTTATGTTTCAACAAATTGTTGATTACCTAATCCCTTAGATTGTGTGTGTGTTTTAATCCTGCCAATAACTATGCAAGGTAAGTATCCGGGTCCCCATTTTACAGTTAAGGACGCTGTGAAAGCCGTCAGATGATGCTTGGTTTAATGTTCTTTTCTGTTGCACTATTCTCTGTTCTCAAGAATTTAACAACCCTTTGGGAGTTGGGAGCCATGTGTACATGTATAAAGATAAGAAACTCATTATGGGATTGTGTGGCATTGGGAAGAAAACGGAACTTCAAGCAGGTGGGGTCACATCCTGGCCAAAATCCCAGTCCCTGCAGATAGTTGAACCTGGGTCTCAAACATGCCTCTGGCCCCCCCACCCCCACCCCAGGTGTGTAAACTTGAGCAAAGTTCTCAACTTTTCTGCCGAGCCGGCAGATGTCAAGTCTTAAACTCACTCCTGGGTTTGCTGTGTCACCTTGGAACTGGTGGTTCTCCAGTCACAGGCTGTATGGCACGCTGGTGCTGCTGACCCTTCAAAGGCACTCTGCCACACTGTAATCAATAGATCAGGTAATTTTCTGTCAGCCAAGCGTGAGATGATGTCTGTCACGTGAGCTGGGTTAAGCTGGGGGGACGGTGGGGCAATATTTGCTGCAAGGAAGATTAAAACACTTGGGAGAGGCGAAAGCCAGGGCCAAAGCAACATCATTTTTCTCCTGAAACATTTAATTTTTTTTGGTTTTTTTTTTTTGGTTGCAGTTTTTGGCCAGGGCTGCTTTTAAGCCCTGGGTTTGAGCCCACCTTCGGCATAGGGGGCCGGTGCCCTACTCCTTTGAGCCACAGGCGCCGCCCATCGAAACATTTAATATTAATAACATTACTCCTCATTATCTAAGAGCATGGGGCAAGAGACAGCCTGGTGGGAGGAGTGGGTGTGGTGGTTTTGTGACACAGTAAATAGAATTGTGTTGGACTTAGTGATTTTTTTATTGTTTTAGGCTCTTCATTCCTTCTAGTGTGAAACCCCAAATTCTGTTATATGAAAGTGTAATTAGCACATTAAAGATCTGAGCGTTATCTAGCTATGAAATTCTAACTAGTTTGCGGAGCCAGATCTGGGTTCAAATTCAGGTTTCACAACTAGGAGTGCATCTGGGGTGTAGGATTTTAGGCAAGTTTCCTTACCTCTCTGAGCCTCACTTTTTTTTTTTTTTTTTTGTAACTGAGCCTGACTTTTGTCGCCTATAAGATAGAGATTAAAACTGATGCTGTATATAAAGCACATGAAGTTACGTGATGAGGGCTCAGGAAGTAATGATTCCTGTTGTTCACTGGATTTAATTATCTTCCCTAGAATAGTGCTGTGGACCTATTACATGAAAGTGGACCTAGAGGTTGTTCTGTGAAGGTTGATGGAAACGAAGTGACTTTGTTATTCTTGGTGAACCAGTGTTCGCCCAGAGAGACCATCTGCCTACTGTTCCGGCACTCATGTGTCTTCCCATTGTCACCAGCTGTAATGTTGCTTGGCCATAGAGGTCTATGCATAGAGGTCGGTGATTCGAGCTTCACCAGGATGAAGAGGGATGACACCATTGTCCATTGAGTGGTTGTCTTTCTGTAAAGCCTCCACCAAGCCTACCTGGTGGGCAATGTTAGTCCCTTTTTCTGCAAGGGGAAATGGAGTCCCAGAAAGGTTGAATAACTTACCCAGGTTCACACAGCTAATAAATGACTATTCCTCTGCTATCTCCTAGTGCCTTCTTAGAAAAAGGAAAAGTGGTTTCCTCCATAATTAAACGCATCAGAGAATTATTCACAGGTAGGCGATGAGGCTGTGCGGTGGTGTGAGGTGCCATCTTGCAGTGCAGGTAGGGAGATGAGGCAGGTAAGTGAAGGGGCCATAGAAGGAGCACAGGCCCAGTGGGAGGCACAGAACTGCTTCCATTTGCTTCCAGCTCCTGGGGCTTTCCTTCTGTCCCTCTCAAAAGCTGGCATTGATGGTTTGCCTTGACTGGCGGTGCAGTACGTCTTCATCCGGCAGCGGCGAGAGCTGGACGTGGCCGGGCGGAAAATCCACGTGGTCCTGTCCCGGAGCACCGTTGTGCCTCAGCTTGGTGAGAGGTCAGGGGTGGTCCGGGTGAAGAAGTACAAGCAGAACCTGGCGATTGAGAGTGACGGCAAGCGGGGCAGCAAAGGTAAAGCCCAGCGTACATGTTGGCGCCCCAGGCAGGGCTCCCTTGGGGAAGGCCGTGCTGATGGAGCGGCTGTCAGGTACACGGAGCTTATCCCTGGCGGCCAGAAAATGGGCACAGGTGCAAAACAGACCAGGGATCAACACCAGGGGAGAGACTTGATCCACCCCCAAACATGTCTGCAGCATGATGTAGATGTTTCAATCCAACCCAACCCCTTCTTTCCTGATTTCTTGCTTTGTTAGGGGGAATCAGAATATTAAAGGCAAACCAGCAGGTTTAGAGATTCACTGGCTGGTTCTATGCATATATGGACTGGGCCTGGGAGTGGGTAAAGGGCTGACCGTCTGTCTTGGAAGACACAGCTTCTGCTCCACACAAACCCAGAGATGCCGGATCCGCCCAGCTTGAGTTTCCTCAGCCCCACGGAGGAAAGCCAAGGGCAGAGAGTGGGGCACGAGACCACCTGTTATACCAGAATGAGGGTGGCCTTATATCCTAGGCAAAACCAGAACCCTGGTGAGATTGGTCACCTTGATTGTGTCAGCTAACTTTTGGGAGTCTCTATTTCATCATTTGTAAAATGGAATTAGTTTTAGCAGGCCCTTAGGGTTGCTAGGATAATTAAATGAGAGAGATGATATCAAAGTGTCTAGACTTGCCAGGTATTTAATAAGTAGCAGCAAAACGTGCCTGTGGCTATGTTTTTGAAAATACATACACACACACACACATATATGTATATATATTACATATACCACAAGGCAAGTCAGTGGAGGGAAGTCCATCTGAATTATGTGTTCCCTCCTCCTCCTTCTGCGCTTCCTTGTATATGAAGATAGAAAGTTTGCGTGGTTTTACTGCTGTTATTTTCCCAGTGTTTGTCCTCCTTTTTGAATTGTGCTTTCTTTCTCCCTTTAGTTTTCATGTATTACTTCGATAACCCGGGTGGCCAAATTCCGTCCTGGCTCATTAACTGGGTCGCCAAGGTGAGATCCCAGGAGGCAGGAGTGGTGGGGTGGGGGTGGGGGAGTGTGTTGAACCACTGTTGACTTAGCCCACGGGGCTGTCAGGCTGAAGAGACACATTGTCTCAGGAGTAATGAGCCTCTTTTATGAAGAGTTTGGTTTAGTGACTCTGGTCAGGGCTGAGATTGCCAACATGCCGGACAGCCGCTGGTGACAGAAGACAAAGAATGATGAGCTCGGAATGCCAGCCTGTCGCCTCCAGGGCCTCAAGCCCCTGCCAGGATCACTCTCTGGAACCTCTGGACAATAGTTTGCTCCTAGGGGGACAATAGGAACCCGTGGACCCTGGACTCTCCTGCGTATGAATGAGGGAGGCAGACTGACCTGGCTTGGAGACAACCAGATGTGTCCAGGCCTGAGGGAGGTCCCCAGTCTTCTTTTTCTGTAAGGGGAGGAGACTGCAGTGGGAATGAAGTCCCTAGAGACTGCCTTGGCACCCGGCATTGTGAGACGCATCAGCAGCTCTGCCCTGCCCACCAGACGGTCTCTCAGATGTGATTTTGAATCCTGGCTCTGCTATTGACTATCTTGTTTTATTTAGCAAAGCCATATATTTCTTCCTTTTCAAAAAATGGGGATGGATATTACCTACCTGCAGAAGATGAGTGCTTAAGACAACATTTGGGAAAAGTCTTACACAATGCTCCACGTTAACTAAATAATAATCCTTTTTACCCTTTACGCTCAATCCTTACTGTTCTCTAGTTCTGTAAATTCTTTTTCTCATGTCCTTGGAAGAATTCAGCCACCCAGCCCAATCCTATTACCTGCATTTTCTTTTTCTTTTTAAGAAACAGTGTCTTAGAAATGGCCTTGATTTTTATCAGCAAAAGCCAAACTGTAAGGCGGGCTGGTCATCCCGTCTTACTTATCCCCTGGGTCTTATCTTTTGTCATTATCTGTGCCAACATTCTATTGAAATCTTGCCAGGGAACCTGTTCTCTTTTATTATCCCAAAGCCGTCTTTGTAACCTTTAGCCATGTCGCAAAGAATCAGGAGTGGTCACTACCAGGTTGTGGACATGACCGTCTCTTTTCCTTTGCAGACCGGAGTGCCAAACTTCTTGAAAGACATGGAGAAAGCCTGTCAAAACTACCCCAAGAAAACCTAAGAAAGAGAATTGGTAGCGTTGCATCTATAGGACGATGTCTCCGGAAGTGCCACCACCCACTGACGCCCAGCCTTCCTCTCTTGCTTCCGTTTTGAGAGGCCTGCACACTCTAGTGCTAAGTTCCTAGCATTTCGCCTGACATTGAGCTTACCTGACCCACCTGCTTCCTTTCTCACTCTGCCTACCCTGGGGTTAGCTGCCTCTTCTATGATTGAATATGAGATTGAATAGGAGTGGATTAGGGGGACCTTTGCTTGTTGACTTTTAAGAAGAGACGTCTTCAGTAGGGAATACAATCACTGCATTGTGCCATTGTAGGGGGATGGGTGGGTGGAAAGCCAACAACAAAACATAAGAGTGACATTCCTAGCAAGCTGGCTCCTTCTGAGAATGGGATTTCTTCCAGCCTATGAGGAGCCTTTGGAAGTGTCATCCTATTCAGAGTTGACTTTAAGTGCACTCAAACTGGAAGACATACATAGTCAATGACCATTTGCCTTATGCTTTGCTGAGTTGATTAGGCTGGAATTTGAGGGGATGACCCAGGCAGTCTTTGCTCGTCCTGTGCAGAATCATTAGCTATCTCAAACAGCTTCGCAACCTGGGAGAAGCTTTGCAAGCCTGAGTGAGCATGTAATGGCATAACCGTTTTTCTTAATTGTCCTTGTCTGTTTTTTTCTTTTACCATATACCACTGGAGAAAGGCTGCCCATACCTCTTTAGCTCTGCATTGTACTGGAAACTGAGGCATCAAGGTGGCTGTAACAGCTAGGAAGGCAAAGCTGCGTTGTGCATAGTGTGGTGATAAAACGTCTTCCCGTGCAATAAGCTGAATTTCCCTTCTAGATTTGGAGATGTAGAGGGATAAGCGTTCACAGCCAGGTACAATTTAATCTGTGGCTTGGTTGGCTCTGCACCTTTTTCTCAGGAATTCTCCCCCATTTGTCTCTATTTTCCACCACAGAAAGTTTCATTTGTTTTGTCCCCAGTTTTGGTACGGTACATGCTATCCATTAGCCAAAGGCACAACCATGATGATCTCAGGGAAAAATTTTAATCACTGTGTGTAATGGTACTGAACCTTGATTAATGAGCATAGAAATTCAGGTTATAAAGCCAGAGGAAAGGATTTATTAAAACGGGATACCTCAGACTGTGTGTTTTCTTTATGGGAAAACAAAGGCTATTCTATCATGAATAAATATTGAGTGGCTTTTACTTGTTCTGTGTACAGCTTCCTCCCTACCGTCTTCCTTTTGTGAGAATGAACTAGTCAGGTCTCTTTTTCTTTGCAAGTGATATGTAACCTAACCCATGGACTTGGACATGGAAAAGAGTTTGGCCATGTAAGGCCAGGTATAGGATTGACCCAGGGAGTACTGAAACAGGTGCTCAAAGTGGGATTAGAATTCAGATCTGTTCCCAGGTTATCTTTGATATCGGTCCACGTGGGCTAGTAGGATTGCTGCAACAGCAGTAGGTAGGCCTGCCCCTTCCCAGGCTCATCCCAAGCAAAAAAAAAGACAGCATTTCTTTCAGTGGGTCTCACTCTAATCCTAAATGCAGTTCCTCTAAATCATGTACCTGTCCACGCCCCAGTTGTTGTAGTCATATGGATAGAATTACACAAATAAGCAAATGTCCCCTAAACATATGATTACAATACCATTATCAGTAATGTAGCTGAAATTTACCTTTAGGTAAAAGAAATAGCAATGCCTCCTATGACAGAGGTGAAGATGAAATCTTACGTGTAATTTCCTTGAACAGAAAAACAAGAATCGGTGTCATGTAAACCATGTCCTTGAGCGGCATTCGGTCATTTGTTGGGAACCGTGAAAATACTACGGCATTCAGAAAAAAAGTCACAAAGTTTGCTCTCATTTGCAGAGCTATGACTTTTTGGCAATTAGGCTTCCTAATTTGGAGTAGAGGACAGTCTTAAACAGCATGGAAACAGGAGCTTATGTGGGAAACTGATAACTTTTGAATTATAGTTTTGTGCCAGAGGCACACGAAAAGTAGAAGATAGAGTACGTACTTTAGGGCTTTTTAAAAAGAGTTTGCCCCTGATCTTTCAAGGTATGCCTTTCTGCAAGGGCTGATGTATCTTCTGGGATTTGAATGTTAACATTTACATTCCCCTAACACCGTTTTGTCTGTTTTCCCCCTGTCTTTCAGTAGATGACAAGCTTTTTGTGGAAACGGTTATAGTAGTCTATATATAGTAGGCCCTCGAATGGCAACCTAATGATGGATAAATGATGTAGAGAAGATTGGCCAGATGACAAAAGCCTAGAAGACTAAATCTGCCCAGATAGAGAGGTTCATTCCCCCACTGCATTAAGCCAAATTATTCCCCCAGCTCAGTACTTTTGGAGGTTCTCGATCGCCCAGGTTCCCATTGGCCCTTGAAAGGTCTTCTATCTATTGTGGGCTGACTTTACTGCTGTGGCTATGGGGTTAAATATTTTAATATTATAGAAATGGCACAGTGAGTCCGGCTGAGTCTAGTCAAGATTTCAGGTTGAAATGTAATGGCAGGCTGGGCGTGGTGGCTCATGCCTGTAATTCTAGCACTCTGGGAGACCCAGGCAGATGGATTGCCTGAACTTAGGACTTGCCTGAGAAAGAGTGAGACCCCTCCTCTAAAAAAAAAAAAAAAATTAGTGAGGCGTTGTGGCAGGTGCCTGTAATCCCAGCTACTCTGGAGGCTGAGGCAAGAAAATCACTTGAACCCAGGAGTCTGAGGTTGCTGTGAGCTATGACGCAATGGCACTCTACTGTGGGATGACAAAGTGAGACTCTGTCAAAAAAAAATATATATATATATATAGCACTACCTATAGTGCTATGTATTTTCTCCATGTGGATTATACACGTACTGCATAGCGATTCGAAATTAATGATCCACCTTGGAATGGAGGAGTTCCAGCAAAGGGTCACTTCCTTTGAAAATGTTCTTATTTCATAGTGAGTCCTGGCCTGACTCTCTGGCTGGGATTCCTCCCCCAGAGTCCCCTTCCATAATGCCTGCCCTCAAACCTCCTGCTTTCCAGCAGGATTTGGAAGAGACAGGGCAGGAAGAGCCCCACTCAGTTCTCACATTTCTAATAGCACCACCCAGTCAGCTCAGAGAATTGTCTTTCAAAGCTTCAAGACATTTACTGATGTAGTGAACATTTCTCAGGAGGCTGGTGTCCATTAGCATGGAGATGGACGCGGCCATTTCTAGGATGAATGAGAGAGACTTGGTACCTGCCCTCAAAGAGCTTATGAGCTAATGAAGAAAACTAGCTAGGGTGATAAGTTGCTTGGAAGGGTGATAAGTGCTCAGAACATGCAAATAAAGGGCACTGTAAAAAACAAGGCACTCACCAAATTGGAGGGGCAGAGAAGAACATTTAGAATTGGCTGGGCAAAGCCTGGAAAAGAAGACTGTGCATGATGCAAGAACCATTTGCATAAAATCCCTAAGGAAGAAGGTCTGAGCAGGATGGTCTATCCCATCTGAAGAACTATAAAAGTCCAGCATGGCCAGACCAATGATATGAAGGAGAGGGATCTTGTGTGGGGCTCTAGAAGTACTGGGCAGTTAGGCAATGGAGCATGTGGAGAGCCATGGCAAGGATTGGGAAGCTGAGAGCATTAGTAGGCTTTGAAAGGTGTTAGAGTGAGGAGTGAACCGATAAGATTTGTTCATTTTTCTCCAGGGTACCCCCCCATCTCCAATAGTCCCTCCAGTATGATGATAGGGGTCTGTCCGAGGTGCTTTTGAATCTTCTCCACTATTAGGCAGTATGCAGAGTAGCCCACACTTAGAGTTTCCAAAGTGAAGCATCAGCTTCTAAAATTTAATGGGATATGAAAAGGCTGGGGGAGGCATCCACGCACGTCCCCTCTGTATATCCTGGCCCATGCTAGTGTATGGCACCTCTCCATCCCCCTGTGGATGCATCACACAGTCCATCAGGGCAGAGCTACTTCAGGGCCCAGAAGTAGGAGAGGAAAAAGGAAGGCACACATAACGTAAGCAGGTTCACTTTCTCTGAAGTTTCTTTTTCTATACTCATGTGTATTTTTCTCTTGAGAAGCCAGAAACATTGCTTGTTCCGCAGCATTGCAGAAATACTGACAAAATGGGAGGACCTCAGCAAAATTATTTACGTTGCAATACATATATGTATGTGTATGTTATGCGTATATGTGTATGTGCGCGTGTCTGTTTGGATACACATAATAGGTGCCTTGTTTCACAAGATATAACAGAACAACTAAGCTGTCTGCTATGTGAGTGACTTTTCAAGTTTTATATGCTACGCCAGGGCTAATGCCAGGCAAGGCATAACTTAAGGCAGGATGGAGTCTCATGTTTGGGAATTAGCAGTCTACAGACATGCGAATAGGATATGTGCACATATTATAACAACAAGAAAGAATGTGATTATGCCATATGGGAGGAAAATGTAATACTTTCAACGTTAGTAGATCCTGAAGCAAACTGCCGGATCTGTGGTGTACTAATTCCAAAGTTGTGTTTTACTAGAGTACATGGCTCTCAGCTTCCCCTATAGTGCAGTGTGACCAGGGGACTAAATTTTAACCAGTGTTGTATGAGCATAAATAAGGTGTGCTACTTCTAGCTCAGGATCATTAAAGAATAAGGTATGAATTCACATGGTCCTTGTTCTCTACTGTGTCTGGGAAATGATGAGAACTAGAACAAATAAATGCCTTGGACTCAAAAATAAAAGCCCAAGATTAGGATGGTGTAGTAGCCTGCCATCCCTGGATTGTTAGAGAGAAGTAGGCTTCTTTTTTACTTAAGCCATAGCATTTAAGAACAAAATACTGTAAGTTTTGCCTATGCCAACTAATGAGAGTGTCCCTTTTGTACCAAGATCAGGAACCAGCCCAAATGCCTCCTTCTCTATAAACCTCTAATCTGGCCTGTGTTTGGCATTTAATAACTGGTCAACAAACCTCTGATTTGTTCTAGTTCCATTTAATAAACAATGGAATAAATAAATATAAGCTATTCTCAGCCATTCTCTCCAATTGTATATAATCTGGGTACCTCCCATTCTCCGACCTTTATGCCTTGTCTCAGGCTATCACTTTTGCCTGTGAAGGAAATGTTTCCCAAGTTTTGTCAAATTTTTGTCTGAATTCCAGGGTCACTGTAAATCTATTCTCTCTAAATAGTCACTGGATTTAGAAAACCCTAATCTATACTAGTGCTAAATAAGTGAAATCTAGCACTTTCAGATTGGGACAATTCTCACTTCTATAAGTCACCTTTGATAGACTTTCTATATTAGTCCTGGTGCTCAGAAAAACAAAACTCCCATCTCTGCACAGAGATGTTTTGGTCTGTGATGGTTCACATGTATCATAGTGGTCTCATAAGATTATGATCCCAAATTTGTATTGAACATTTTCTCTATTTAAATAGGTTTGGATCTACAAATACTTACCAATGTGTTACAGTTGCCTATAGCATTTGGTATGGTCATATGCTGTACAGGTTTATGGCCCAGAAGCAATTGGTCATATGCCACATACCCTAGGTGCATAGTAGGCTACCCCATCTAGTTTGTGTAAGTGCATGCTATGATGTTTGCACACAAGGAAACCTAATGAGGCATTTTCCAGAATGTATCTCTGATGTTCAGTGACACATAACTGCATGTATAAGATATAATAAGGGATACGATTACAGAGGCTAAGAAGTCCCAAGATCTACAGTTGGCAAGCTGGAGATTCAGGAAAGCCCATAGGATAGTGATAGTCCAAAAGCTGGCAAGCTGGAGACTCAAGAAGAGGGAATGTTTTGGTTTGTGTGTGAACAACAATGTCTCAGCTCAAAGCACTCAGGCAGGAGGCAATACCCCTTAACTCAGAAGAGGCTCAGCCTTTTTGCTCTGTTCACGCTTTCAGGTGACTGGATGAGAACCTCACACATTAGAGAGGGCAGTCTACTACTCAGTCTACCAACTCAAATGTTAATTTCATCCCCAAACACTCTTGTATATACATCCAGGACAATGTTTGAGTAAAATAACTGGGCATTCCATAGCCTAGTCAAGTTGACATGTAAAATTAACCATCATACTTGCTGAGAGCTTAGTGTTCTCAGATAAGGACAAATATTTAACATTCTGAAGCTTCTACTGTAAGCTAGGTAGTAGATTGGGTGCTTTTTTTAGTCTTCG